ACCTACGAGTATTTTAAAACAAATTAATCCCTGGACTACACTATAGGTTAATTAGATATATCTTGAATGAAGTTCTCGTGAGTGTAGTTCTAAAATATACTGAATTATTTCATAACGTACAGAACAATAATTATGTAATGATATCAATTTTGTTATATATGCATGTGTATCAGCTTTATTCACTTTTACGGTGTCACAAGAGAAAGAATTCGGTTTGCTATTGCACCTTTTCTTGAAGTTTGGTCTAGTGTGTCAGGGGTGGGCGATTTTCATAATGATGTCGCCTTTGTAAGACTTCAGCGAGTGACGGTCAAACGCCTTATCGTTGTGTAGTGTAGGGTTCTAACATCAGAATGTAAGAGAACTTCTTAAGAGAGTTTCTTGAAAAACCCTCCTCGGCTTTTACGTAGACTAGCTTTCCGAGTTAGTTATTTGAGATATCAGAAAATGTCTTTCTGTTTCTTGGAGTTTGTAGTTATCATGAGTTATTCAGACTACTGTAGAGTCGGATTTAGACATATGTTGAAAATTGAGAGGTATGTACGTCCGTAATTCTTTGCGTATAATATTTTACAAGACAGTCAATCCTACCTTATTAAACTCATATAAGGTCGTCGTAAGATTAAATACTTTTATGTAGATACTTTAAACAGATTAATAAGATAAATATTTTTATCTCTTCTCATTGGTCAATAACAAAAATTGAACACTATAAATTCTAATTTTACTTTTTCTTATAATCTCTCAGAAACGTTTCAGTATTGGAAGGCCTAGTAATACTCCTTATACTACAAAATGTCATATATGTAGCATACTTCTTAATTGTGTTACTAGTTGCTTTAGTACCTCAGGAAGGTTTGGCCTTTGAGTTCTAATTTTTAAATTTATTATAACAGCATATATTCATTAACAGGAGTTTAAATTAATTTCTCAGCTATTGATGGGTATAACTGGAAGTAGCATCTTATTTATTATGTATAAGACCCACTATGGGATTAGGAAGAAGCTAAATTTGGGAAATACTTGACTTGCTTAATGAAAGTATTGCGGCTAAGATGCCCTTTACAAAAAACTAAACGATAAAATCTTTTTTAATACATTGGAAGCATACTACAGTCAATAATACATTTTAAATTACAAATGAACTTTTTTGTTATATTTCTATGAAATAAAAAATATTCATCAAGTCATAAAGTAATCGAGAAAATTTGGTTATGGCAAGTTTATACAAAAATTATAGTGATTTAAGTTATTATAATATAATTCATAAACCATTAACACAGAATTTAAAGTCAGGTTGAGCTTTTGGACTACAGCTTACAGCAAAAGGGATTTTCCATGTAATAATAAAAAATAATAATTAAATACTCTAATGATAATCCAAAAAAAAAATTTAGTTATAAGAATTTATATAGTTACTAGATTGTGTGCTGGTTTCTTAAGTATTAAATTCATCGACAGATAGGCAGTAGCTAATGATACAGTATTAAAAACATGACACTAAAGCAATGAGATTCTTCTAAGTTAATTAATTATGAAAAAAGTTAGGTTTATATTTTTTTATGTTGAAATTCTTTAGTTGGAAATTTATTACTCTTTAACGAATTTGTATGGTATTTCATAACGTTACACATTTCATTAGTTTTATCTTACAAAACAGCTTTCCCTTATATTTTGATGTTTGCTACAATTTATCTTAAAATTAAATGGTTCAAAATATTATAATAATATTTTTTCCACAACTGAGGACTATCTAAGATAATGAGCGATTCTTTAGTGATATATTTAAATGCTATTTTATTGAATAGCACAGATTTATTGAAGTGATACAACTTACTCACTTACGAAAGAACCTAACTAATAATAAACCTAATTTACTGTTACTGTTTAACCCTAAGCTAACTTTTGTCAGTTATTTCAAATCGACAGAATACTTTAAACTGTTAATGTCTTAAAATCGCCAATGTTAGTTTTACAAAAAAAATCTAAACATATTCTAATTGCTGTATTTTTGTATCTTTATATATTGCACTTTACCACTTATACCAAACCCGAAAAGAGAAAAAGATTTATTGTGAATAAATACTTCTTTTAATATTAAAGAATACAAAATGTAAACATCCACAAACATGTGTACGAGGAATTAGAGATTTGCGATTTGTGTGGGGGCATATTGATTTCAACTCATACGTGTTTAGAAAGGAGGCCAACCTTAATGCAAGCATGCATTTCAAACAGATTGAATTTGAATATTGAAATTTTCATTCCTTACTTATGATTGATATTGAAAGTACAACCTTTTCAATTCTTGTGGATAAATATTACTTGTATATTATTAAAATATAGATTCTTATGTTACCGTTACTCATATTAACAAGCTCCATGTCACAAAATTGAAGCTATGAATTTAAAATATTACATGCCCCCTAGTTAATTATTCGTTCTTCATGAAACGATATTCTATATATTGATATAACGATATATTGATTATGTACACGTAGGATTTGGTGTTTATTTGTAAACTTAGGAGTATTTTAAGTTGGATGTAGATATGTATCTATGTATATGTCACGCACATCTAAGTGTGTGCATTTATAACTAAGTTTGCATGATATTCTAGCTCTCAAACTGAATTCGATACCTTTTTTTATATTTGAATCCCTGTTCTCTTCTAGTGATTCTTAGCTGAATTGAATGAGCTATTTTCCAAATAATGTAAAGCATTTTTGGCCTGTGATTACTCGATTAACTGAGTATTACTTATCATTTAAATATAACGTTTAAGATTGGGATTTTTAAGTTGAAATAAAATTTTATTATGTTGAATAATAGTTTTCTTCTTTTACCAGGTTGTGCATAGTTTTTTCTTTTCTAAATAATGACCTCAAGATGGAAATATTGAAAGTTGGGTCCAACGATATCATGAATAAAAGATGCTATTTTGCAATGTATATTATGTATTTTTGAGGTGAAAAGACGACAAGAATAGCAACACGGGCATGAAATGAGAATAAAACTAACAAATTGAAAAACGTTAATATCTTGTTTATATATTTGTGTGCTATTTTTCTTCTGGCAATTTGTTTGCTTAGACCCGATATATTATTTTTACACTAATGGTTGAGGATTTGTTTCTAACACTAATTTTGAATAATCTACTGATCTGCTGATTAATTATCAAAATTTCCCTTAAACGTATTAAAGAGTCGCTGTAAATAAGTCCGAAAGACATTCTACATACTTGCATTTTAATGTGTGTTGGTTTAAAATATATTTGGACGTTAGGATTGGTCTGGAAACTTAGAAAATACATTTAAATAGCCCCCAACAATTACAGTTGAAAAATCAAGTATCGGACTGTGATATTATAGTTGTTGATATTATTAGCGACTGACAAAAATTTCTCCGGACAAAAGATTGTCGCTAGTATTTATTTCAAATAATTTGTGAATCAAACTTCAGACTATAAGTAATATGAGCACAATTTTTAGTTACCTTTACCTCCTGATACCTGAAACTTGACCATCGATTAATTGTAACCTATGATTATATAAGTTAGGTCTAGGGGCCCTGGCATCTTGGTCTATTACAATGTTAAAGCTTTTAAACTATTTCACATTTGCATACCGAAATTATTACAATATTTTCATTGTATTGAACATATACCAACTACACCGAATTGGAATACTGAAGTAATAAAAATAACTGAATCAATAATAATAAAAGACTCAAAGAAAAATCGTAAGAGTTTTGACATTCCATAACAGGTATTTTGGAATCTTTAAATTCGTAACTATTTTAGTATTTAAATCCAAAAAATATGTTTGTTTTTGATAATGTATAATCATCAAATTATTCGACATTTTCTTTTATAACACTTTGTACTTCACGACATTGTTATTGCAAAAAAAAAAAATATTTTTATTGACAAAGATAACAAAAATGAGAAGATAAAACAACTGTTTGTAAAATTCAAAGTTTTATCCAACTCACAACGACATTTTAAGGTTAGATACTGTGTTTTTGTAGTGTTGTTCAATTCATAGTTATAAATTTAATGCCTATTTCTTATTGCAGGAAAAACTCAAAATAGTACAAGAAATATATTTTTTTTACAATTATTAATTAGCTTCTATATTTTTTTAAACTTATATAAAAATAACACATTTACTTAGAAAAGAAATTAAACCATACTGTAATATAAATAAACGTAAATACTATATATGAATGAAAACATTTAATTTCGCTATATCTTTCTAAATCATAAAATATCAATGAACATGAAATATAAAAAGTAATTTCACATTGTTTCATCCTATCTATGTATATTTCAAACAAAAATAGGCATATAAAAAAAAAATGGGTAAAAAGATTGTTTCGACTCGTGGGTTTAGGGATTTGTATAAGAAAGGCATTCATAGGCAGTGAAGTTTCATTATTATGACTTCCAAAGAAGCAACACAGTTTAGATTCTTTTATCGTAACCAAAAGTTTTTTATAATATATATATTTTTTGGTCTGAATATGTCTTGATATTCTCTAATTAGTTATTTATGGTGGATGGGTGAGTTAATTTAAATTGCTTAATATTAAGACAAAAGACAGATCATTCATGTTATTTTTATTAAATATTTTGAAGTATATCTAGGGTCTAGTGTCGTAAGAATATCTAAACGATTTAAAACAGACTAAGGAATAGATATTAAGGAGACGAGGCTATATGAATGTCGTTAATATAACTATGATTATTTTATATGAATTATCGTATTTTCTTTTTATTACATTTTAAAAGTCATTTCAAATATGCATGAACTCTGGAAAATTGTACATATATGTATTATTTTCAAATCCCATTCTCAATATTATTTCATGACTGATAATTAATTGATTGTTCACGGTAAAAAAAATTAGAAAAAATAAGTCAACACTTTAAAAACAAAGAGATAACTTTATATTAATATTACATAACGAACTAAAAAAATATAAAGTTAACAAGATACTTAGTCTTCATCATCTTCATCTTCCTCTTGTTCTTCTTGGTTAACAACTTCGACAACCTAAAAAAAATATTTATGTTAAAACAAGTAGGCTCTAAAGCAAATGCGATGGTAACAGGTTGGATTCCTGCTTGTGTAAAAAAATAAATTCATCATCCATTATCTATATGAATTTCAATACAAGTACAACACAAAATTAGTGTTAAAGACATGATCATACGAAATAAATATTTATTTTTTTATCTTAAAATTTGTATGGCGTTTAGTATAACAATATATTGAGTTGTATTAACTCACCTCCTGTTCAGGTGCTTGTTCTGCAACTGCCTCCTGGCATATAAATATATTTATTAATACATTTTCACAGAGTTTGTATTCTATATTTTTGAATTGGATTCTAACTTAAATCAGTAACATTAACAGTAAATGAACAGTTATAATGCAATGAATGCTAACAATAAACAAAAAAAAACTTGTATATTCACCTCTTCCTCTTCGTGGACACTTTCTTCCTCTTCATAATCGTCTCCATATCCCACAGGAAACATAATAAGGCAATCCTTTTCTCCACTCTCCACATCATGACTGATGTAACAAGGATTGGCTCCCGCCAGTTGCAACATCGGTAGACTGCGTTTCCGAGACACCATCAGCGCCAGTCTATCGTTGCTGTAACACATTATTAAGTAACCTTTCTGTAAATTTAACTTCAATAGTTCAAATTTTCTTTTCTATATTGCATTAAGAGTTTTCGGCACAAATTATTGGCACTTTTAGATATAGATTTGTTGGATAAAATATATTTATATTTATAGTTGTTCGATCGATAATAACTTTAAAACAATTTTCATTAATATGGTTTTATACAACAACCGATTCTTGATTGAACTTAAATAAAACTTAAAACACACAGAATTATTCGTTTATATTTATTTATTATATTGTAGTTTATAAACGCAAGAAAAAAATGTTTTTAATGTATTAAAATATCAACAGGCGATATTATTGGTTTTTCAACCACTTTTCTGAAATTACATCCACCTAACTGGGATGGAGTAAAATAACAGCGATTAATTGTTAACGTCTGTAAATCATTGATTTTAAAGAAGAGATTAAAGAATTTTGTTTGCAGCAGAAAGCTTTAGAATATTCATCAAGCTCTTTGGGGCTGGTCACATAAATATAACTTACTGTCTCCTTATTCTGCTCATATGATTATACTGCTTTATAGTATACGCGAGGTGTTGAGCTGTGGTAGGGTCATCTCCAATAAATATGCCATACTGAATAAAAAAAAGGACATTTGGCCATACAAATTTATATAAATCATAACATAATATTCTCTAAAAAGAACATCGAATATTATTATTTTTTGTTTTTACTATCAATGTTTTATGCGGCTTAAAGCATTTTCCTTTTTTTTTATTGTTATTTATTAAAATTATTTATGATATGAAACTTACATTAAGAATTTCATCCGGAAATTGATCCATTATATCCTTAACATCCTGTCGCTTTTCAATAGTAAACATTACCAACACGTGCGGAGGAAGAAACTCCGACTCAATTGGTGTAATTTGAGACACGACCTAATGGAATACATGACGTAAAATATTTTTGAAACGAAATGTTATAAAATGATCACTTTACGTTATCCATATTACTACATAGTATTACTATTTGTTTTTATGCCGCCCAATGAAAACATTTTGGGTACCTTGGGATAAAATAAGGCCAATGCATTAGCTTTGGCTAAATCGTTAGGTGGAGTATATAATCCTGGCACAAATAGACCACCAGGTGGAATATACTCCTCGTCCTCAATAGATACATCTGAGTGGAATTCCTCTTCAACTTCTACTTGTTCTTCTTCCACTGGCTCAGGCTATGATTAATAAAAAACTGTTAACTATGAAGTGGTTAACATGTTATCGAATGTTGGTGATTAATATCTGTATAAAAGTTGCTTTCTAAAAGATCAGAACTATTAAAAATAAACCATAAAAAAAACTTCAAATATCTATAAAAAAAATAACTAACTATTATCTTGCAATCATGAACTGTTGTACATAAAATACATCAGCTCCAGTAACATTTATACTTTATGTAGATTTTTATGTATATAATAATATATGCTTGGATTAACGGGTGTATGATAAATAATTACAACTGCACATTCCATGCTGGGTTACTTACTTCCCCAGTCTCTTCAGTTTCAGCAACCCCTGGTTCCTCTCCTGGTACTACTTCTTCTCCACCCTCTTCTCCACCCTCCTCTCCACCTTCTTCTCCACCTTCTTCTCCACCCTCTTCTCCACCTTCTTCGACTGGCTCTGGTTCTGGCTCAGCTGGCAACTGTTACATAATATATTAAAAGATCATTCAGATTGCATTCATATAGTACAAGCAACGGAATGGCATTGTTATCCTAACATGAGGGTAATGATTTAGTCTGAGATATAGGTTTAATTCATAATTCCTACTATACTATACATTTAAGTAGGTTTATTAGTTTTCCTGAATCCTTTTTTGGCATTGAACTTATGTTATAAAGTGAATGACTTGATGGTATAACTGATCTTGCCACTTACTCCAGCTTGAATCCTAGCCATTCTTTCTTCTTCCTGTCTTTGTTTCTCTAGTCTTTGTCTTTCCTCCTCTTCTTCTCTTGCAAGTCTCGCTTGTTCTGCAGCTAATCTTTCCCTCTCTTCTTTTTCTTGACGCTACAAAATTGTATGAAATTTATCGTCTATTAATATATATTTATAACAAATTTTTATGCTTTACTAATTTTTGATACTCGCCCTTTTCGTCGGCATTTAAGCTTGTAGTATTTTATTAGTCAAAATTAATTTTTGTTGCATAAAGGAATCAACTTGTAACCCAAGTGGGCTTATACACTCAAACTTATATTTTAGTTGTGAAATACAAGTTAGTAAAAACATTTTAAATAAGATCTAGTCTTAGCAAAATATGAGTAGGTTCAAGTGTGAATAAGTATATACAATATGTAATTTTATTAGGCAACAGGAAACCAAAAAAAAAATCTCATTCGGAGTATTATTCCGTCTCCTATTTGTACAATTTTATTGCATTATTTTCCCACTCCAACTCAAGTGGTTACTGATTAAGCAACAAATTATTTCTTGAGAGTAAGGCAGTAACATAATATTTAGAATAAGAAATAAAAGAAAGAATAATTTTCACAATATAAAATTTTATATCATTCTCTTCTCTACTTACGACTGGCTGTTTCTTACCAGTTTTTCCATTCGGGCTTCGTACCTCTCCCTCCGAACTTCCCTTGCAGTTTTACTGATGGTCGCGTACCTTTCAAATGCCGGGATTGGAGGAAGCTGCTTTTCCGGTGGTAAATCTTCCTTTGGAACTGGTATTTCTTCATATAAAGTATGGCGCATAAGTTCTGAAAAATATCATTTATATTTCTTTATTCACAACTCTGTGTCAAAGATTATATATATATCTTTTTACTGTTGAATACAAAATAACGACTAACTAACAAAATCCCTATCATCAGTGTCGAACATTTTAAAGAGAACAACCAATGCTTCTCCGGTCATAAGAGCATGGATACAAGCTTCATTGGGATCAACGTCGCTCATATATAAAGCCTCTTTCACTATTTCCTCAGTCATTTGGATCGTCTCCTTAGCTGCTACTTGAACATCTTAAAAACAATTATGACAATTTTGTATAGTTTCATATAATTATGATATATATAACAATAACGTGTAAAATTTAAAAATATGCTCACTTATAATATCCCACTTTTCATATAAGTCTAAATGGGCTTTGTGACAGTGTGGCCAATATAAAATAAAATTCAACCTTTGTACATGGCGTGCTAAACGCTCGCAAACTCTTTTCTTTCGAGCAGCAGTAGTTAAAACACGAAGCCGCTCTGCTATTTCTCGAGCTTCTTCTTCCATTTTTAAATCTTCTTCAATCTTTGCCTATTTTAGAAGAATAATTGAGATATAGGTAGAATTTATAGTGCTTATATCAACAATTGTATTTATAAATAATTCTAAAGATCATTTTGTCACTTTTCAATAGGGTACAGAACGAAGATAATTCAGTATTTTTAAATTTGGTCATAGTATATTTAAAAATATTACAGCTTCCTCAGGTAGAAGCTCTTCAATTTCTTGTTTGGGTATTTCAATTCCGGTTTCAGCCTCGATTTTCAGATTTTCCAATTCTTCCTCAATTATGCGACATAATTCTAAACCATTTGCACCAAACATAGCTCTTATTAATTTACCTTTCTAAAATGACAATGAGAAATGTGAATTACTTTTTATTTCATCATATTTTCAAGAAATAATAATAAAATTTATACCGATATGAAAAGAAAAATTGGCTCACTCCTACTTCTAAATCTAGATAAAACGTCGATGTTATCTGCTAGAGCCTAAATAAATTTTATGAAATTAGTAAAAAACAAAAAGAATTTCTAAATATGTCATATATTTTTACTTACAACAAAAATAAAAAAAATCATATAGTTTAAAAATATTTATGATTAATTATTATAACTGATAAAAGAGGTCACCATAAATTAAGTAATCAAAAACAATTAAGTAAAATGTAACTGACTGTAACGAACTCACTCTGACCATACCAATACGATCTTGACCAATTTCTAGTTTTCCTTTTCTAATAGCATTTCCGGTAGCTAAACAATGACCACAAAAATCAGAATACACCTCCAAACCTAAATCAAATTTATAAAACCGGATTAAATTAAAGATAGAATATTAAAAATATATAATATATATTCTTAAGTGGCATAACAATAGAACAAATTAAATGATAATGCAACTACATCACGAAAATGTAATGAATAAATAACCTAGCATAGAATTCTATACGAACATACATAGGAGTCGATCAAAATTGGACATTAATGTTTCCGCAAATTCTTCATTGGTTTCAATATTGTCTTGTATGGCTACTTGTCCCTTTCTAGCCATATTTTCAATAAAATTATATTAAAATGTTATTAGCACAAACTTTCTTGAGTTCTGTAAATAATCTGTCAAAACAATTTTTAAGAAAAGTTTAGAATATAGTAAAAAGGTTCATTTAGTTTATTTCCCTACTTTTACATATTCATCGTATTTATTCAGGTTCACTCTTCTACATATTTGGTTCGTAAACCGATGCCTCAATATGTTTTGTAAATAAAAAATAACATATCAACATTATCAGGACATAAACATAAAATAAAATAATGTACATAGTTCACAAAATAATTTCGTAGAAGGGATAGTGAAGCTGTGGTCAAGTAACAACAGCTCGAACTTTCCGCTTTTGAAATTAAAAAAAAAACTTTATTACTACAATAAGGGAAGATTTAGAAGTTTGTTGACTTATGCAACTGATTAAATAACATGTACCAATACAACTGCTTCATGGAAGACAACTTGGATATCAACGACTTGATTAACATATGTATAAGAGCGTTACATGTATCTCTGAAAACAATCACATGTGTATATACATATATATATATATATATATATATATATATATATATATATATATATATATACACGGTGTTCACACGATGCGTAATTAATTACACAACTTTTGGTTAACTTTACTTAGAAGTTTATTAATATTTATGTTATATTAATTTTTATTTTGTCATATATGATCGTCAAATATCACGTCCTCAAATATTGATAGTAATTCTCCAATCACCCTGTATATATATATATATATATAAATTTTAATACGATAAAATAATTGTATCTAACGAAAATTTTAACTCAATAGTAGTATCTATTGAGGGACAATAACAAAAGTGGAATAATTTTTAAAGTTTTTAATAACATTTGAAATAAATGGAAGTAAGATGTTCAATTTTCATTGTCTTGGATTTTTGAAGTAATGCAAAAAATTATGTATTAACAATCAGTTTCAATGTCTAGTTGAGTTCATATATTTGTCTATAGTAATGAAATTTGTTCTGTTGTCTTAATACACACATGTCATCGTCATTCCAATGACTATATTTTTATAATTCCGTATCCTGAAATATTCAAGAACTAATTACTCCACAGAAGAATAGGCTCAACGCTTGTGTGGTCGATTAATTATTTGTTACCGTCTGTTCGCGGCTACAAGGACCGGATGAAAATAGTTAAAATAGTGAAAATGAAAAAACAACCTACTTCAGTGCTTTTAGAAATGAAATAATATTTTAAACGAGCATAACCTTTATAGTTTTATTATTGTAATGTATACAGTGGCTACAAAAAAACATGAAATATTAGTAGAACGCCTTTGTAATTAAGCTTATTAGAATATACATATACAAGGTAAAACTGTAATTACGTTTAAAAATTTCTTTTCGTTTTATCAACACTGCCTTTTAAACTTTTATTTCTGATCTTTAATTTTTTATAGTAAAGACGTCTAACCCTACTAGTTTTCACATAGATTTTTTAAACTTTTGGATCTGATAATCAGCCATTCTGTAATTAAATATCATCCGGTTTGATTTTAGCACTAGCCTTAATGGAGTTTTCTAATTCTTCTAAAAGTTTAACTAGCATACAATATCTGAATCCCGTATTTTATCATACAGAAAGTAGTTTTTTTTATTTGTAAAATTATTGTGTATATCACAATTTACATTTTTTTATGTTTCTGGTAAGCTATTAGAATGACAAAATACATAATGCTCCCGAATACCGGATTAAACTTCCTCTCTCCCAGTTATACTGGAGAATAAAACAGGAATTCTATATTTGTAAAATATTTATACATATTCACCAATTATTTTCATAAAAGTCGTTAAAGACTTTCTTTTTTTATTTTTGTACTGCGTTCTTTCTACTGCCATTTCAGATTTCTTGAAAAGTCTATCATATTATAAAAAATCCGACAATTTTTGACGGGTTCTTTCTTGTTAAATTATTTTTTATATTTTCGTCAATTATGTTTTAAACACTAGTAACAAACAAGTATTTGAGCTAAATGTGCATACTCTCTAGTTTTATTTCTTGCGTTAGGGTTGATAGGAGGGAGAGACGAAGTACCAGGAGTTTCCTGCAACAACTGTGCACTTTGAGGTACTCTTTTAAGTCGGTACTTGGAAATAAGACCTTTTTTCGTTTTGTGTAAATGTGAATTGGGAGATTAGCTATCACCTCGACACGTGAGTAACGCGGGGCTAACTTTTGACGTGAGGCAATTGGGTTTTTAATAAAGATGGATTGGTCAGGCGAATAAGTAACTTCAGGCTCACGATCCTTGTTACGTCCTGTCATTATATTAGTTCGTGCCTCAAAACCTAGCTCACGAATCGTGTTATATACTATAGTCATTTTAGCTTTATGATCAATCATATATTGTTGTAATAAATGTGCTGAAATATCTATATTAAAAGGATCACGAGGGTCAAAATGTCCTGTAACAAGATCTAGAGGTTTACACTTACTAAAACTATGAATACTACTGGGGTAAACTAAAATTGCGTAAGGCATAATGTTAATACTGAATCTGATTTTTGGCTTAATTTAAGTATACGATATTCGAGTGGATGAAAAATCTTGATTGATTAAAATGACACACAAAATTTAAAATAATACACAATTAAAATTCAAAAAGTTTAAATAACTGAAATAAATGCACATAGAATGTAATAAAATTCACACTAATTGATTTGAAAGTCAGGTGAAACTGTAGGTCTATTAAAAACTTTTTTCCGTATTACTTTTAATTCTTTTAATTAGTTTTAAACAAAATTATTTATAAAATAACTTGATTTTATTAAGTAAAGATTAGAAATATTTAAAATGAATGAATTAATAAAAATAATTCACCTATATCTATTAATCAAATTAATTAATATATGACGTAACCCTAAAAAAGGTATATGCGAATAATTAATTGATAAAATAGTTATAGTTTTAATAAAATAAGGATATGAACTAGGAAAATAAGGACTGAGATAGATTCTAAGTATTCAAAGATTACAGCATATCTAAATTTTGGTATCAATTGCGGAATCGATATTCAGATCTCCTACGAACCGTTCGGACCGAATAGGTTTCGGATAACGAAAACGGTTCTTAGCCACATCCGGGTAGCTCGCGAACGCGGTATCGATGTTTGATAGATCACGAATTATCCTACCGACTGCGCCAATTATGATTTCGACGGTCGGTGGTTGCAATGAAACCAAAATTATTTGACTTAATTTAATTTTAAGTAAGTTACAACTAGGGTGTAACTATGTTACACAAAGGTTGAACAAATAGTGACAATAAATCTAATGAAATTCTGACAAGAGATATTATAATCTAAAAACATGAAAGAAATATAAAACTTTTACAAAATAAAAGTATTTACAAGTGTAAAATCAGATCAAACAAATCAATTTAGAATCGTTTGTATGCAATATTTAAAATATCAATCAAAATAATGAGTTTGATTTTATTATTAATAAGTATATTCAAGACTCAAGAACACTATTGTTTTTATCAATGAAATGATTATTTGAATCATTATCTTTTAATTAAAACAATGGATGTATATTTCACTCATTATGACTTCTTTGAGTCACTTTTGTATGCAGGCTCCGAATATTATAAGAATATATTTCTACATATAATACTATCAAATTGCTTCAACAGCATATGTATTTTTGTTATGAAGGAGTAAGAAATGATACTGAAATGAATAATTAAACTAGTAAAAAAAGGTGATCAATGCATATATCATTGTTTTTGTTGCTTGATTTGGAGTAAATAAAATTTATAAAAGTTATAATTCAAATTACTTATATCAAAAGAAAAAATAATTAAGATGTTTGGCTTTGTATAATGTAATCAAATACAGAATTCAAACTATTTTAAGTCATATTGGTTAAGTTACTTTTAAATACACGTTCTTATGTTAAATAAAATGTTAAGTTAAATTAAATTAAATCAAATTAAATGAAGGACTTACATATGGTTATGACATACACACAGATATTATATGGGTTTCTATTCTTCGTTAAATTAAAGAAGTAAGGGGATGGGGTTAAAATAAGCACAACATAGATATACATCAGTAATTCACGATGACCTTTTTCAAGAGTTTTAACCCCCCCTAGCTAATACGTGGAATATTCGGTATGGTATTTAATTAAATTACAGTCAGTGTATTCGTCATAAAAAAAATCCTATGTTTTAAAAATACCAGATTTTGATAAGCTTCCACAAAATTATTCTTAAAGTTACATTTTTTTTATAAAGATCTTTTTCTACAATTAGTCTTTGACAATTAATTATAGGACATGAATTATAAAGATACAAAATTATTTAGTCAATAATAGATATAGATTTACAAAACAACACAAATATAATAAAGTTTTTATTGAAAATCTTTTAGTAATTTCGTTTACACTAATTATAAAGATATATTGTTTTTCTATCCATTGTATTATTACTTTAGACACTTCGAAAGGAAATCTACCATTAATTCGGAATGCAATATCATGAATTTACGCTCACTCTCAGAATGCTCCATTATTGTTAAATGTTCGGTAAACTACACGTTGAAATACATTCTTTACAAATACGCAGTTTTGGTTTTACTGTGAAGAAATCTTCTTTTACATTTTAAATCAGATAATAAAAGTAGGGATTGGCCCATTATATAAAATTTATAGTAGATAATCTTTTATAAATATATATAATTTTAAAAGAAATATAGGTTATGGTGCAGGTACTGTAGTTTCCTTTTTGTCTACGTCTGTAACTTGATCAAAAAATTATATCACTTAACAGAATCGCATGATAAAATTTAGTACTTTAGCTGTGAGATTCAAGTTGTGTGCCAAGACCATAGCTTATAAATTTTATATTCGTTTCTTACCTTCAAATATTAACATATATAAGCTTAATTTTATTTCATGCTTATATATTTGAACGTTTACTTAGATATTATTATGTCCTTGAACTGTAATATATAA